GATGCCTACCTGGCAAGGAACTGAAGGCAGCCTCAGCCAATAGCCAAGAGGAACTGAGGCCTTGATATAACAAAATAATGTGGATCCTGCCAACATCCATACGAATGAGCTCAAAAACAGATTCTTCCCTGTCTGAGGCTTTGGGTGAGGCTATAGCCCTGGCTGAGAGCTTCACTGCAGGCTTGTGGGAAACTTTTATACAGGGCACCCAGCTAAATTGTCCCCAGATTCCAGACCCATAAAAACTATGAAACAGGGTGGTACCTGTGGCTCAGTGAGTAGGGTGCTGGCCCTATATACCAAGGATGGTGGGTTCAAACCCAACCCCGGCCAAACCGCAACAAAAAATAGCCAAGTGTTGTGGCAGGCACCTGTAGTCCCAGCTACTCGGGACAAGAGAATTGCCTAAGCCCAAGACCCGGAAGTTGCTATGAGCTTTGATGCCATGGCACTCTACCGAGGGCAAAGAAGTGAAACTCTATCTCTAAAAAATAAAAAATGAAAACAAAAAAACTATGAAACAATAAATGCTATTATTATTTATAATCATATATTTATTATTATTTTTAAAAAGTGTTGTATTCAATAGTTGTATATGGGTTAATTCATCACACAGCAATAGCTGACTGATACATCTAGTTCTCCATTGAAAGACATCTAGTAAATCACTGTTCCCTTTCAACATTATTTCACAGTTTTTCTCTACAGTTGATCCAGGGACAGGGTATGAGTCTCCTGGGGCTGCCATAACAAGTGCCACAAACTGGGGGGCTTAAAACAACAGAAGTATATTGCCTCTCAGTTCTAGAGGCCAGAAGTCCACAATCAAGGTGTCACCAGGGCTGGTTCCTTCTGGAGGTTCTGAGGGAGAATCCGTTCCATGCATCTATCTGACAGTTGTTGGCAAATCCTTAGCCTGTAGAGGCATCACTCCATCTCTGCCCTTTTCTTTACCTGCCCATCTCCCTATGGGTCTGTCTCTGTATCTGAATTTCCCTCTTGATATAAGAACATCAGTCATAGAGTGAGAGGCCAGTGGAAGCATACCGTATGTATTCTCCTGCAATTTTTTCCTTTGTGTGAGATTATGTTTGGGAGTGTTGGTGAGCTGTATTCATTTTCACTGTTGTATAATATTCCACTGTGTAAATCTATATCTGGGTATTGGTCTGTTCTCGATGGATATTTGAGTTGTTTTCAGTTCTTGTTTCCCTATTATCACAAACAGTAATGGTATCAAAACTCAACTCAAACTCTCTGTCTTATATAATGAGGAACTGAGCTAGCCCCTGGACAACAGTAAGCAAAGACCTAAGCAAGCAACAAGGACCTGAATCCTTCTAACAATGTATGAGCAAATTTGGAAGTGGACTCTGCCCAAGTTCAGGCTTCCAATCCCTGAGTCAGATGACCCCTGCTAAACCACATATAGATTCCTGACCCACAGAAACTGTGAGAAAAGAAAAGTGACTTGTTGTAAGCTGTTATATTTCAGGGGTATTTGTTATGCAGCAATAGCTAACTAATACACTGATGTTCCATGATGTGCATTTCCTTCTTTCATATCTATCTCTACCTACTAGGAGTTCTCATTAATTACTATATCCACTTGTCCAGAAAACAGACTTTGCACTGGCTGTTCCTATTTAATAAAAACGCAGCCCCCTTACTCCACACACTCCCTGGCTCCCTTACCCTACTTTATTTTTTCACTATACTCACCATCTTCTAGGCACACCATATATTCATTTATTTATTATGGGTATTTTTTTGCTCTCTGTCTTTCCACTGCCTGTCACAAAGCAGATGCCAAATCAATACTTGTTGATGTCACTGCTGCATTCACTCACCCCCAGGGCTCTGCCTGCCTCCCACATTTCTGCTGGAGTTAAAGGATCGCAGCCTCGGCTTCCCAAATTCTGGTTCTAGATTCCACGTTTAGTCTCCTGACTCCGGAATTCAGGTTCCCGAATCTGGCAGCCCACCCCGCTGTCCCCATACAGGCCCTGGAATCAGCCCTACACCATCTAGACTCCAGGATCCAGGATCCAACCTCGAAATCTGGGCCAGGAGCCAGCGGCAGCCATTAGGCTGAGATTTTTTTTTTTTTTTTTTTTTTAAATCTGGCGCCAAAATCCAGCGCCAGAAGCGAGTCGAGGTGGAGGAAGAGACTGTTCAGGTCTGGGCGTTCCTGCGCCCGCACAGCCCTGGGATCAGGATGTCTCACCTCGGGCCCTACACTCCCTAACCCCAAAGTAGACAGCAAGTAGCCATTAACTTTCTCACCCCGGGACTCAGAGGGTCTCGCGTTCGCATCCTGCCTCTGCCACACCCCTGCTTGGGGTGCGGTGATCTCTTTACAGGTCCTTAACGTTTCCGTGCCTCGCTTTTCCTTCCCGTCGCATGTCGTGCCCGGGGAGCCCGAGGAGTGGACGGACCAGCTTTGCGGGGTGTCCCAAACCTCGGGCTCCCCAGCGAGGGTGATAGGGGGAGGGTGGTAAGGATTTGGGGGTGACCAAGGCCCCAGCTGTTCCGCCTCTCTTGTTCCGCGCCAAGATTTGAAAATTGCCCGACGCCTCCCAAACTGCGCCCTCAGGGCTGGGGTGGGTGGGTGGGAGAGTCCAGGGCCCCACCCATGGGTAGCGCAAGGCTTTTTGGGACTTGGAGTCCAGCCCCTGCGGGGGGGTGCTCGCGAGGACAGCTCCGGGAACCTCCTGCTCCTACTCTTCTCCGAGACGGGAAGAGTGGCGATGGGTTCGAGACCCCAGCTTGCAGAGGGAAAGACTGAGGCCCAGGCTCGCGCAGTCAAGAAGGAAACGGAGATCTTGGCTGGAGGAACAGCAAAAACCTGCGGGTGGGAGCGTCGGAGTGGGATATGGGTAGGGCCTGTAGCACCCCCAATTTATTTCGTATTTTGCTTTAAATCCTTACACGTTTTACAACGGCCTTTATATTTTAATATTCCTGCCCGTATGAAGGACTGAAATAGTATCAGGTTCTTAAATGCGACGTTACAGTCTGGGTTCCAAGGCTGAAGTCCATTTGGTAAGAGGGGAATGTTAGCCAGTTAGTATTAGGTGTCTAAGGCAGATGGCAGAGTATGGAGACTTCCCCCTGGGGTCCTCAGTATGCTGGAAAGGGATTTAAGTTCTCAGCCAGTGACTTGTAGGGGCTGAGCGGAGTTCCCTAAGGTGGGATATGTGGGGAGGAGGAATTGTCCAGGTAGAAGAAACACCTGGCCTGTCTCAAGGCTAAAGGAAATGGTTCTCCAATCGGGGGCAATTTTGCCCACCAGCTGACGCGTGGCAATGTCTGGAGACATATCAAGTGGGTGGAGCCTCCTTACCGCTACCCCCGGCAACAGAGAGTGTGATTTGGCCCCAAACATCACTAGCATGGAGTTGAGAAAGCCGTACTGTATAGACTTGTCTTGTAAAATAAAATTTAAGGAAGACCAATTGTTTTATTTATTTATATTTTTGAGACAGTCTCACTATGTCACCCTCAGTAGAGTGCCGTAGCATCATAGCTCATAGCAACCTCAAACTCTTGGGTTTAAGCCATCCTCTGGCCTCAGCCTCCCAAGTAGCTGAGACTACAGGCGCCTGCAACAATGCCAGGCGATTTTTTTGTTGTTGTAATTGTCATTGTTGTTTGGGAAGCCTGGACTGGGTTCAAACTCCCTTGTTTCGGTGTATGTGGCCAGCCTTGGAGCTACAGGTGTTGAGCCTATTTATTTATATTTTTTGAGACAGAGTCTCACTTTGTCACCCCTTGTAGAGTGAGGTGGCATCATAGCACACAGCAACCTCTGACTCTTGAGCTCAAGCGATTCTGTTGCCTCAGGCTCCTGCCACAAGGACAGGCTATTTTTAGAGGGAGGGGTCTCCCTCTTGCTCTGAGGGATCTCCAACTGGTGAGGTCAGGCAATCTACCCACCTGGGCCTCCCAGAATGCTAGGATTATAGGAGTGAGCCATCAAGCCCAGCAGGCCAGTTGTTTTAAAATAAGCTCCTGCACTACTCTCCAACAGACCAGACCAAACCAGAAAGGAATTACATAATTAAATTGAACTTTAAAGGATGTAAGTTTTCAAAAAAACCAACAAACCTAGGATACCTGAGTGTAGTGGCATATGACTGTAATCCCAGCACTTTAGGAGTTTAAGGCAGAAAGAGTGCTTGAGGCCAGGAGTTTGAGACTAGCCTAGACAACATAGTAAGACCTCATCTCAAAAAAAAAAAAAAACAAAGAAAGAAAAATTACCTGGGCATGGTAGTGACACCTGTAGGCTCAGCTACTTGGGAGGCCAAGGCAGGAGGATCGCTTTAAGCCCAGGATTTTGAGGTTGCAGTGATGATGCCACTGCACTCCAGCCCTTGTTACAGAGCAAGACCCTGTGTCTAAACAAGCAAACACCCCAGGAGATTCAAAGGGGTGTAGTCGACCTCATCAGGCGACCCGTGCTTTAACCCTATGAAGAAAATAACTAAACTAAGCTATCTACCAATCTATTTTTTGTTCCTTATTTGTTTTCTTCAGCCCCTTTCTGCCTACAAAGCCCACCCCCTCTGCTCAGCTCTTGGAACGCCTGTTTCACAGATGGGAAGCTGCCTCATTCAAGAATCGCTAATAAAAGTCAATGAGATCATTAAACTCAATTTGTTGAAATCGTGTTCCTTGACAGCTTTGTCGGGACACTTTATGTAAGTGGCACCACACACTTTGTGGCCTTTCGTGTCCGGATGTTTCAACTGAGAATGTTGTGAGGTTACGTAAGTGGGGAAACCAAGGTGCTAGACGGCCATGCAATACTACCTCCTAGTGGCTGATCCAGGAGTTTGCAGCCGAGCCGCTGTTCCTCAGTCAGACTCTGTGAGGGGTCGGGCAGAAACTACAATTTCCGGCGCACCCAGCGCGCGCCTGGCGGACGAACTACAAGTCCCAGGCTGATCCGCGATGGCGGGCAGCCGGCCGCGGGCGGCGGGCGGCGGGCGCGGCGCGGCGCCATCTTGCAGCCGGCGGCGCGGATTGAATGAGCCCGCCGAGCCCCGGCCGCCGTCGGGAGCCGCGCAGGCCGCGAGCAGCCGCTGCTACCATGGCCACGCCGCTGTCCGGCCGCGCGGGCGGGCCAGCCACACCACTGTCGCCCACGCGCCTCTCGCGGCTGCAAGAGAAGGAGGAGCTGCGTGAGCTCAATGACCGCCTGGCGCAATACATCGACCGCGTCCGCGCTCTTGAGCTTGAGAACGACCGGCTGCTGCTCAAGATCTCCGAGAAGGAGGAGGTGACCACTCGAGAGGTAGAGGAGCAGCTCGGGGACCTCGGGGCATGGGCCAGGCGGGCGGAGACTCCTGGAGGTTCACTGAGGGATTCCGAGGGCCCCGAGTGAGAGATGCGGGCCCGGCAGGCCCCGCCCACCGCGGGGTCCGCGATCTTGGAGGACCCCTGAGCAGATGGGGACGGGTTCTGTTCTCTGTAGGAGTCCTGAATGTGTGGTGCAGGCTGGGCAGGCTCCATCCTCTCAGGGGGGCTCCGGAGGACCTCCGAGTGAGGGGTGCAGACCGGACAGGCCCCGCCCACCGCTGAGTTCGCTGTTTCGGGGGATCTCTGAGCAAGCGGTGCAGACGGGGGCCGGCCCCATCATTTTGGGAGTTTTAGGGGGCCCGTGAGTAAAGTGGTGCACACCGGACAGGATTCGCCCACTGAAGGGTCTGCGATCTCAGGGGACCCCTGATGAGGGGGTCCAGAAGGGAACGAGCTCCATCCTCTCAGGCCCCCAAGAAGTTTCAGGAGCTCCCAAGTGAGGATTGCAGACAGACCATGTCTTGCCCGCCGAATAATCTGTGATCTCAGAGTGCTTCTGAGCTAAGGATTTAGAAGGAGACAAGCCCCGTCTTCAGAGCCCCAGAGAGGTTTCAGGGGCCGCTGAGTGAGCGTGCAGACTAGGTAGGCTTCGCGACCGAGGGCTGCAGAGGAGAGTCCTCAGAGAATTTTAGGGCCCCTTATATGAGGGGTGTAGATTGGGACGTCCTAACTAGAGAGATGTCTCCTTAGTATCAGGCTGGAGTCTCCAGTGTGTCTTGTTCCTCACAGGATTCCAAGGAGATTTGGGGATCCCCAGGCTGAGGAGATATGAACCAGGGTAGACCCTAACCCTAAGGGATGGGGGGATTCTCCAGGGATGAGCCTGGGTGTTTGGGTATCCTGGGAGGAGTAGAAAGGGAAGTCTTTTGTCCCCAAGGGAACTAGGGGGCTCAGGCCCTCTGAGAGAGTCTTGGGGCCTTGGAGGGTCTTATGGAAGCATCCTGGAGTGAATCATATGGCCTCAGTTCTCCATGGAACTTTGAGGGGAGAGGGATTCCCTTGATAAATCTCTGAGAGATCAATTAGGGTGGGTGTTAGGCCAAGAGCTCCATCTTTACCATGGCTAGGGTGGGTGGGGCACAAGGGAAGGGTTCTGATGCTTTGGGGGTCCCATGGGAAACTTGAGAAGCCCTTAGTTTGGCCCTGGGGACACCAGTTGCTCCCCTAGGGGATATGAAGGAAGGGGGCGACAAGTGGTCTGGGATCTACTGGGAATTTTGGGGGTCCCAGATGGGCCTAGGACTTCAGTGCAGACTGAGAGAGAAGAGTCTAGGAAAATCCACCTCCAGAGAGGATAAAAGGGCAGGGTGTCACTCACCTAGGTGGGATTTGTCTTGGGTTAGGAACCTCTGCCACCAGCCTAACCCCCCAAGTGGTTCTTTTTCCTTCCCACCAGCCATGCTCAGGCCAAGGGCAGATTTTCAGAGTAAGAGGGGAGGGAGGAACACCCCTGCACTTGGCTCTTGACATGGGTTGAGGCCACTGGGTCCAGTTGTCCCAGTGGGGAAGCCAGGCCCTGGAGCTGGAATTTACCACTCTGAGCCTCCACTTCCTCATCTGGAGAATGGGCCAAATAATAGACTTGTGGAGAGGAGCCATTTACTTACCCTCTGTGTGACCTTGGGCTAATCACTTACTTAACCTCTCTGGGTCTCAGTGTCCTCATCTTTTAAATGAGTATAATTGTAATACCTGCATCTTGGCGTTACCTGCCAGGCTTTCAGAATAAACTGTTTTGTAAGATGAAAGTGACTGATAAAGATAAAAGCGGTAAGGTAAAGGACTGTTCTGTTAGCACTGTTAGATGGTGCCCCACTGCTTGTGCTTTCTGGGAAGTGGAAGATCCCATAGTTGGTGGTGTCATTGTGGACCCCTGTTTTTTAATTTGTGTAACTTTAGGCAGCCCACTCCGACAGAGCCTGAGGCTCTCTCTTGGAGCCTTGATTTTGCCATCTGTCCAGTGGGGCAGGATGGTCTTGGCTTCCAGTGGCTGCTTCCCTCCCTTGTCAGGGCAGAGAAGCCTTAGGACTCACCCCTGTTCCCACCTGCCATACTGGTGGACACTCAGTCTCTCAGCTAGTTTCTTGTTGTCTTTGGGCTTCTGTTGTCCCACCTGTGAGTGGAACAAACAACTGCAGGAACTTTGGGGGACACTGGCTAGGCGTCCTGCCAGACCCTGGGCTAGCCACCTGTCTGGGCAATGGTGGTGTCCTACTTTGTTGCTGTGCTGGCTCGATCTGGTTGGAATGTGAGACTAACTCTGGGCCAAAGTGGGAACAAGGGAGCCGAGTGCTTGAAGGGTCACTTTTGCCTTGTTGCCCAGCTATGTCTGCTGGATGTGTTGCAGGGGGACAGCTGGGAGTTCTACCCAGTGCCTTTTGTCCAAGAGCCAGCTACTGGGGTGTGAGGGGTAAATGCGCATTCACTGGTTGGTGGAGGATGCTAAAAACCCACTGAGGGAGGGGAGGGGCATCATATGGGCTTTACAGAGAGAGGGACCTGGAGTCGCTGGGGGCTGTGGTAGGGGGGCCTTCTAGGTAGAGGTGGGCCTGGTGGGGTTCAGGGAACGGCCTTGGGCTCAGGCTGGCAGGAAGGGAACAGGGGAGGGGGCTCTCACTAGTAGGGACCTCAGGCTGTCTGTGGTACCTAGGAGTGTATACTTTACCTGCCCAGCAGTGATCTCACCTGCCTGTATCCTGCCCCCAGGGGATATCTGACCCAGACTGGAGACATTTGTGGTTGTCAAAACTGGAGGGAGATGCCGCTTGCCTGGAGTGGGTAGAGGCCAGGGATGCTCCCTGCTCAGCATCCTGAGAAAAGACTTGCCCAGCCCATATGTCAGTGTCAAGTTTGAGAAACTGCACTGGAGGTAGGGAGTTGCTGTAGAAATTCTTTGAGGATGCCTTTAACATTCTATAAGTGACAACAAATGTGCCATTCAAGCAGTCCTCGTGTATATGGTGAACCACCCCCCTCTTGCATGTTGCTGCACGTCTTGCCCTTTTTATCGTGTCCATTGAGTTGTCTTCCTTTCACACTTGGTCATACACAAAACCATATCCCCATGTGGATTCTGGACCTTTCCCATGTGACGCTGGTTGACATCTTTTTTGGCGGCATGGACAAATGGCCACGGGGAGATATCACTGGAGGATTTGGGGGATGCGGAAGGGTGGGGAGCTGGCCAGGTGGATGTTAGTTGAAGAAAGATCCCTGAGTACTGGAGTGCTGGCAGAGCAGTGGGAATGGGGGGGGGCAGGTATTCTGGGAGCCCTCCCTGTGAGGTGTTAAGTTCCTATGGGAGGAAACTTGGCTTTCATTTGTCTTCCCTTCCTCCGCCCCTGGTGTCCGGTGGCTGCTCAGGGCAGCCCAGGGTGGACCCAGGGAGTTCAGAGCCAGGGCTGGGCTCTGGGGAGTATGGTGGAACGAGGTGGCCCCAGGCTGGTGTCTAATTTTCCCTACGGAGCTGTAGTTCTTAACCAGGGCAGTTTTGGCCCCTGGTGACGTCTTCCACCTAGGTCATGCCATGCTGTGCGTCTATGGGATTCCAGGAAAAGGCCGTCTTGGGTTATCTGACCTCCACCCTCCAGGCCAACACGTGCTGACACATTTGTTAGGATTCCTCAAGCCTGGGGCTTGCACAATGTCCCTGTCTTTGCAGCCTTCACAAGTGCAGGGAATGAGGCCCTGCCAGGCACACTGCACCTGTCCCATGGGCTAAGAGGTTCTTTGTAATATGTGCCCTCCTCCTTAGCACAGTGCTGTAGATTGGGTACTAATGACCACAGATGTTTTCTGAAAACACCAGGAAGTCAGTACAGTATTTTTTACTTTGCCGGCCAGGCAGTCTCTGTCTGACTATTCAGTTCTGCTGGTGTAGGGTGAATGGCTGCCGGCTGCCGTAGGCAATATGCAAATAAATGGGCACAACTGTGTGCTTATAAAATTTTATTAGGACTTGCTAAGATGTGAAATTCATAGAATTGGCCTGTGTTACAAAAAATATACCTTTCCTTTTTCTCTAGCCATTTAAAAATTCAAAAACCTGAGGTGGCGCCTGTGACTCAGTGGGTAGGGCCCTGGCCCCATATCCCAAGGGTGGCAAGTTTAAACCTGGCCCCGGCCAAACTGCAACCAAAAAATAGCCGGGCGTTGTGGCGGGCACCTTTAGTTCCAGCTACTCGGGAGGCTCAGGCAAGAGAAATTGCCTAAGCCCAGGAGTTGGAGGTTGCTGTGGGCTGTGTGACGCCATGGCACTCTACTGAGGGCAACAAAGTAAGACTCTGTCTCCAAAAAAAAAAATCAAAAACCTAATAAAAAACAAAACAGAAATTGATCTATGAATTTTAAAAATAAAAATAAATTTAAAAAATGTAAAAACCACTGTGAGCTTGCAGGGTGGACAAAACCAGGTGGTGGCAGGAGCTGGCCCTTGGGCCAGAGTTTGCAGACCTGACTGTAGATAAACTGCCTTATACCCTTAACTAATCTCTATATAATTTATTCAGATTTCCTCAATTTCCCCTAGTGGCCTTTCCTGCTCTGGGGCCCTGCCCAAGATCCTACATGACAGTCAGTTGTCACATCTCAGGCGCCTCTGGGCTGTGACAGTCTCTCAGATATTCTTGTTTTAGATGCCCCGGATAGTCTTGAGGACTGACTGGTCAGGTATTTTGTGGAATATCTCTCAATTGGGTTTGTCTGATGTTTTTCTTATAGTCAGACTAGGGATGAATAATTTTTTTCTTCCTTTGAGATAGTCTGACTTTGTCACCCTCAGTAGAGTGCTGTGGCGTCATAGCTCACAGCAACCTCAAACTCTTGGGCTCAAGCCATTCTCTTGCCGCAGCCTCCCAAGTAGCTGGGACTACAAGTCCCTGCCACAACACCCAGCTTTTTTTAGAGACGAGGGTCTTGCTCTTGCTTAGACTGGTCTCGAACCTGTGAGCCCAGGGCCCTCCAGAGTGCTAGGATTACAGGTGTGAGCCACCACGCCCAGCCTATGAATAATATTTTTTTTTTTTTTTTTTTTTTTTGAGACAGAGCCTCAAGCTGTCCCCCTGGGCAGAGTGCCGTGGCATTACAGCTCACAGCAACCTCCAGCTCCTGGGCTCAAGCGAGTCTCCTGCCTCCGCCTCCCAAGTAGCTGGGACCACAGGCGCCCGCCACAACGCCCGGCTATTTTTTGGTTGCAGCCGTCATTCATTGTTGTTTGGCGGGTCCGGGCTGGGGATTCGAACCCGCCACCTTAGGTGTACGTGGCTGGCGCCTTAGCCGGTTGAGCTATAGGCGCCGAGCCTATGAATAATATTTTAATGGAATATTTTTTTAAAATCAAAATTAGGACTGGGGTTGGTAGCTCACTTTCTACCGAGGGCAAGAAAGTGAGACTTGGTCTCCAAAAAAACCCCCAAAAAACCCCCCAAAATTCCTCTGTGGTGCAAAGAGCATAGTATATTCACCCAGGCCTAGGTAGTGTGGCATGTTGGGTTACATGGTGCTCTTAGGCTGCTGTCTGCACAGCATGTGACTACCGTAGATGACTGTAACATAGGACTATTTTTGTATCTAAACATATAGGTACACAGAAAAGGTACAGTAAAAATATGGTATTAGAAGTTTATGGAACCACCAGCCAAGTTTAGACTGGCTGTTAAGTCCCACCTCATCTGGGATGTTCTGGTTTAAACACTGAGAACCATATCTGGGCACCTCCATGGTCCTGAGCATATGGTCACCCTACTAATTAGCGTGTCCTTGGCAGCTCCCTCTGCTCAGGGGCCTTGTCTGTAACAGGGGAGGTGGCCCCCTCAGGGTCCAGGCTGACCCGGTGCCTGCCACACACAGATGCTTGCTGTCCTGTAGGCTTATGGGGATGGCACAGCCTTCAGAGTGGCCTTGTCTGTTAGCACCAGGTAGAGTTGTAGCAGTTAATCCACATCTTATCCAGTTCACCCAACTCCACTGTACAGTTAAGTGTTTTTAGTATATTCAGAGCTGTGCAACCACCACCTCTATCTAATTCTGGAGCTTTCTCACAACACTAAAGAGAAGCCTTCTCCCATTGGCTGTCATTCTCAATCCCCTCAGCTCCTGACAATCACTAATCCGCTTTCTGTTTCTGGACCTGCCTGTTCTGGACATTTCATATAAATGGAATCTTACACTATGTGTCCTTCTGTGTCTGCTTCTCTCACTGAGCACAATGTTCTCAAGGTCCATTCATGTAGACTGTGTCAGAGTCTCCTTCCTTTTCATGGATGAGTGATAATCCTGTTGCATGGATAAACCATGTGGGGTTTATATATCCATCCATTGATGGACAGACCGTGATTCTACCCTTTTTTGGCTATTGTGAATGATGATGCCATGAATATTAGTGTACAAATTCCAAACATACATGGATATATGTTTTCGTTTCATAGGGTATATATCTAGGAGTGGAACTGATGAATCTATGGTGATTCCACATTTAACCTTTGAAGGTCCTACCAGACTGTATTCCACTGTGGCTTCATGTGCTACATTCCCACCAGCCAAACACAAGGGTTCCCATTTCTCCACATCCTCGCTAGCACTTTCGACTGTTGTGTTGATCGGTACCCTAGTGGGTATAGTGGTTCTTGTTGTGCTTTGCTTCCATGTTTTTAAACACATTAAGTGTATGATCTTGTTGGGGGAGGGAGGAGGGCTAGGCAGCCACAGAAATTTGAGCCATGCTCCCAGCTGGTGTGTGACCTGGGCAGCAGTAGCACATGGGAAGCTGGGCAGGTGGCGGCTGTGGTCATGGAGGAGTTAGCAGGAATGGAGGCTGTTGCCTTTCAGGAGTGTATTTGTAGCCAAGTGCCCCCAGAGGGCCCTCTTTAGGGATGGGTTTAGAAGGGGCTAGCTTTAATCACCAGCTGGCCTTTGAACTTGGTGTCATGAGCAGGAGCTCTGGGAGGGGCTTTCCTCATCTGGTGGCCCTGCAGGGCTTTCTGGTCCCTTTTGCCTGCTCTGGCAGTCCCTGATTTTTCCTGCTTTCTGCCCTCTTCCCCACTTGTTGGCTGAGCAAGTCTCTGTGGGGACAGGTGGGGGTAGCTGGCTGGGCAGCTGGGAACTCTGGATCCTGGGAACTTCTGCCCAGGATCCTCCAGGTGCTGCATCAGCTCGTAGGCCCCACAGAGGGTTCAGACTCTGAGAATGTTTCATGTGCTTGGGGGCTGGGCACAGGAAGGCTGCATGTTGGCCTCTCCCAAGGGAATGGGAAAGTGGCAAGAAGGGAGGCTGAGCTGGATCTTGGAGGAACTCAAGTTTGTAGTCTTATAGCAGGAGTGTGAATACAGGCAGAGCATTCAAAGACAATCATCATCACCTAGGAGCTTGGTGACAGCATCCATCTTCATGTCCGAGACATGTCACCATCCAAATAGTAGCTTTTGGAAGAGAAGAAATGTTATATGTAGGTCAGTACTAAAGTTTTGAGACAGACTGTCATGGTCCATGCTTTTACTTTCAAGAAACACAGTCGACAGCATCTTTCTGATTCCTCCGTGTGGATTTCAACTTGTTCGGCTCATCACTGTGGCTGGGAGGGCTTCATTTGTTTCTGTCTACATGGATTTTATATTTCTTAATTTCCGTGTATCTCAAAACTTTCAAAATGACCCATGTATTAGCCCAATGGTTGTGATATCTGTGGTTGTAGAGACAGGAAGAAGGGTGTCGTGGCATGGAGAGGGTAGAGGCAGGGACACTGCTTGGCCCTCCACAGTGCCCAGGATGGCCCCACCCCAGAGAACAATCTGGCCCCAGTGTCCATGGTGTGGAGAGAAGGGAGACCCTTAATTAAATGTTCACACCAGGCTTGGCACGGTGGCTCACGCCTATAATCCTAGCACTCTGGGAGGGCAAGGCAAGTGGATAGCCTGAGCTCAGGAGTTGAAGATCAGCCTGAGTAAAACCAAGACCCCGTTTCTAATAAAAAAACAAAAGTAAAATAGAAAATCTAGCTGGACATTGTGGTGGGCACCTGTAGTCTCAGCTACTAGGGAAGCTGAAGCAAGGGGATCTCTTGAACCCAAGAGTTTGAGTTTGCTGTGAGTTATGATGCCACAGCACTCTATCCAGGGTGACAGAGTGAGACTGTCTCAAAAAAAAGAAATGATCACACTAATTTTCAGATTTCAGAAAGTGGGAACATGAAAAATGTACATAATGAGCAGGCACTTTGTAGCCATGGCAACAGCTAAAGGTCTGCATGTCCAGGTTGAAGGGACAGGTTCCATATAGGAGGCAGGTGTTCTGGGTCACAGGCTGGATCCAGGACCTTTGAGCTCCACCACCAGGGAGCTGCTCTTTGCTGGGCTGGGGTTTGGGGAAGGGAGGCAGATCATTCCAGAAGGGGGATCCTCAGATAACCAAGACCTGGGGCTCACACGCCCCTCTGTTGAGTTTGTGTCTGGGTACCATGGGATGGTGGCTGGGTTTTTCTGGCTGTTACCCTCTTTTTCTGTGCACTGGGGATTCTGAGCAGAGAAGGTTGTCCTCAGCCTTCACCTTGGCTTGTGTCTCCCGAGGTGAGTGGCATCAAGGCGCTGTATGAGTCGGAGCTGGCTGATGCCCGAAGAGTCCTAGACGAGACAGCCCGAGAGCGTGCCAGGCTGCAGATTGAATTGGGGAAACTGAGAGCTGAGCTGGAGGAAGTCAACAAGAGGTGAGCGGTTCTAGCTGGCTCCATGTAGCCCTGATCCTGGGGCTCTTATGGGTGAGACCCTAAGAAATCCCCATAGGCCCTCTGGGGATTCGTGTCTTGACTGGGGCAGCCTGGATGGCACTGACTACCAGTCTGGGCCTCCCTGTCCCCTACTAGTGGCTGCCAAGTCACTTTCTTCTGCTTCTGTGAGAGTTGTCGATATTTACTATCCAGAAAGTGGGAAACATGAGGTAGTTTAAGCTGAAAAGTAAAATCCCCTATGGGCCTTCCCTGGAGAATACCTGGCTCCTCTCCTCATGCGTACAGGTGTACACACACACTCTCATTGAAACCACAGAAGCTTTTGACCTTCATACCTTCATGATCATTCCTGGTGTTAGATGTTCTTTGTGCCTTGGTTTTGTGCTGGGAGGTGGAACATCCTGGTGTGTGCTCAGTGTAGTCACAAGTCATTTAGGCTGCTCTTGTTGTTCCCTGCAATTTCCCTTTGGGTGACAGCTGTGTCCATTGTCAGGGCAGTTCCTCCCTCATCATCCCTCAGTCCTTCTGCGAGACTCACCCAATTTAGGGTATAGGGTGTTGTGGACAGATCGTTGAGACAGAATGACAAGGACAAAGGCATATGTATTCAGTAGTGCTACAGGGACCCACGAAACATCAGGCTTGAGGTTCAACCTAGAATTAAGCTTATCCCATGTCCTATCTACAGGCACCGTCTTCCACAGGCTCTGGTTGCTGGTGCTCACGCATCTGTGGTCTTCATCTCAGCAGGGAAGGGACAGGGTGTTCTTGCTTTCTCCTGTCTCCCCAGAGCTATGTGCTCCTGCACTCCTGGCCTGGCCTACCATGGAGGGACCTGCGAGTGCCACCTGAAGGGGCACAGGCATTCCTGGTGCTTCTACTAGCCAGTATGAGGTGTGAAGGGCATCTTAAGGCTTGAGGAAGCACTACTAGGCGGCTCGAGAATCTGTGTTGTCCCCATGTTGGAGTGTGGCCAGAATAATGACCAAGGATCTCCATGAACAGATGATGGGGAGTCCTCCATCTGGGCACTCTTTGTCTGCCCAGGCCAGTGCTATCTCTGGAGAGCTAGCTTCTTTCCTCTAAGAGAGGCCAGCTCTGGGTGGGCCAGGCTCCCCCATCCACCTGCTTGGAGCCTGGGCTCCATTTGCTCTCTGGTGGTGGCCATGAACCAGGGACCCAGCAGCCAGAGGGCTCGGTGCAGTCCATGCAGCACCACATCCTACTTGAGTAGCCTAGGGCCCAGCAGCCAGGCCTGAGTGGGCCATGGCTCCAGTCCGTCTGTCTCTAGCACCTGCTTCATGCTTAGCAAGTAGACTTTTCAGCAGAGCTGCATGGCTTCTGACATAATTATAAGACTCCAAAGGGATTTGTGGGAGCTATAAAATACCAAAGTTGCCCTGTGCAGGCCTGGACAGAGGCAGAGCCGCATAGTGAGGGAGACATTCCAGATACCTCTGAATTGTTCTCTTTAAGACATGGAATTAATTTCACATTACGTGAATTTCACCACAGTGTTAAAAATTTAAAAAAATACTACCCTGTGCTGACCTAGGCATTCAGGCTTCCTGATCCACTGTCTCCTGGATAGCTGCCTGTGTGGCAGGCATCCCACAGTGGTGTGATCTTTCTCCGCCTGTTTGTGTAGCCCCATGCAGTCATCTTCCTGACAGGTTGTACCAATGTTTTTCTTTTTCTAGCAAACTTATCACCAAAACTTCCGGGTGACAAACACAGGTAGCTCCTGGAAGACCTAATAAGCCAAATTCCATTAGGAACCCAGGAGGGTTCACATGTGGTTAAGGAATCTGGTCAAGCACCTTGATGTTCTTGTGAGCCAGTGAAGTTTTGTGAAAGTTCTGTGAACCTTATGGTGTAGACATTTGTTCAGGAACTCCCTGAGTTCCCTGACGTCTCTGCTCCTGTAACCCCAAGGCCTTTGCACTGCCGTCCACTCTGCCTGGATTGCCCCCTCTTTCAGCAGTGATTACCATGACTCCTTCCTAAGCTCCCCCTCAGGTCTTTATCCCCAGGGTCACTTCCCAGCACATACGTGGGCCTTGTCTCTCTTCCATGCTCCAGCATCCTCATAACATAGGCTCCCCTCTGAGCAGCTATGTGACTGGCAGCTGTATGACAATGGCCACCTCCCAAGAGGACATGTAGTGTGAAGTAGTGTGTTGTTCTAGATGTGTCCCTGGTGTAAGAACAGCACTTTCCACGCAGCTGGTCCTCAGGCAGGATCTGTCGGACAAATGATTTACAGTTTCCCCAAAACTGCTCTAAAAATGCACTCTGGGAATGCAGGGCATGCAGCCCACAGCTCAGGACTGTGGTTATCTGCACCCCCAGACCCTCAGTGTCAGGAAATAGGACTTAGTCTCCCTAACTGGGGACACAGTCAGCTTAGTGGCTGAAATCACTGATTTTCATGCCACTCCAACTCACAGAAGCTGCTAGCCTGGGCCTCTCTGTCCCTAGTGTTTCTAGTGTTCTGAGAGCTGCCACTACATGGGGCTTATCATCAGAGTAGACAGCTGTCCTACCCTGGTGGGAAACATGGGGAGGAGACATGGTGTTTGCAGTTCACCTTTCATAGTATGTTCTTACCTGGCAGGAGCCTAAAGCCTAGTTTGTCCAACCACAATCCCTTACTCAGGAAATTAGTTCACACTGGTGGGTGCCCCTTGTGCTGCATATCTGACATGCATCCAGATGACACCTGGGGCATTGGGAAGCCCAGCCTGGTTCTTCCAACAGAAGGTGCAAATTCAACGTGCCACATGATAGCAAACACATTCAAGGATTTATTACAGATCCTTTGCAGAGAGGGTGCTGTGGTGGGGAAGGCAGTCCTCTGTCCCCAGCTCATAAGAGGCAGGAATGTACACTTGCAGGGAGAGCGCATGGCTGCTAGCAGTGTACAAGTTTGTGGAAACGGTGTGTGCAGCACTTTAAGTTCATGGGCAAATGCCTGAGGGGCCTGTTTAAAGGAAGTGGGAGCAGAAGTGGACAGCCCAGTCTGCTAGGCTAGAGGGAAGCCTCAGTTATTAAAACTAAGCCTCTGGACTTAGTTTTGGGTCACTGGATATGATGTCTGCTGCTAATGCCAACAGCATCTTTTGCTGTGTTGTTCCCTCAGCCTGGGGTGATTCTGTCCCCAGGAAACAGGGTGGAGTCTGTGTGGGACATGTAGTTATCTCCACTTGGGGTCTGCTCCTGGCATGGAGTGGGTAGAAGCAGGGACACTGCTCAGTACCCCATAGGGCCCAGGATGGCCCCAAGTGTCAGCAGTCCTGAGGTTGAAAAAGGTTGGATTGGGCCAGGTGTGGTAATCCTAGCATTCTGGGAGGCTGAGGCAGGTGAATTGCCTGAGCTCACAGGTTCGAGACCAGCCTGAGCGAGAGCAAGACCTGGTCTCTAAAAAAATAGCCAAATATTGTGGTGGGGGCATGTAGTCCCAGCTACCTGGGAGGCTGATACAAGAGAATCACTCGAGCCCGAGAGTTTAAGGTTGCTGTGAGCTGGGATGCAAGGGCACTCTACCGAGGGCAAGAAGTGAGATTCTGTCTCAAAAAAGAAAAGGAAAGGGTTGGGTGTTCACTGTTGCTTGGGGAGGGGCACGGTTAGTTCCTTCAGGAGGTAAACATTCAACTCCAAGATTTCAAATTACATTTACAAACATTCAAGAGCCTAAAAGTCCACACTCTTAACATTTGTCTGTTAAAATAATCTGGGTACTTGCTATCGTAAATATTTAATTCTGGAAATGATTTGGTTTAATGGAACACCAGGTGAGCCTGCTTAAAATAGCTAAAGTTTCCAAAGAAGATGAACTTTATAAAAGCCAGGGTTTTCAGTTGTTAACTCTAATGGTGTGTATGTTAATTTTTTTTTTTAAACCTAAGTTCTCCCCTAAATGATCTCTCCTGTATCTAAAATTGGTAACAAAGGGTGTGAAACTCAGGACTTGAGGTAAGTTGCAGGCACTTATGTTGCTTATGGGGTTCCTGATGGTGCAGAGCAGATTTGAGGAGCATGTGGACCTTCGATCCTGAGGACTAGGACCCCATTGTCAGGGCCTTCCTAACACCCAGTACCTTGGGCACAGAGGTCCCAATGACCTTGCCCATGGGCTTCCTGGCACCTTTGCCAGCTTGCCTGGCGCTGCCTGAGATGCTCCATGGGGTTAGGTGGCTCCCCCTTTGGCCAACCTTTTCTTTTGACTTTCAGCGCCAAGAAGAGGGAGGGTGAACTCACCGTGGCACAGGGTCGGGTCAAAGATCTGGAGTCCTTATTCCACCGGAGTGAGGCGGAGCTGGCTGCTGCCCTCAGTGACAAGCGTGGCCTGGAAAACGATGTGGCTGAGCTGCGGGCCCAGCTCGCCAAGGTATGTCCCAGACAGCTCCTGGGGCCATGGTGGCTACGGGACTCCCAGGCAGGGTATGTGCACCAGGCAGATTGTCCCCTCCTCTTGCTGTCCTGTGTCTCTCAGGCAGAGGATGGCCACTCAGTGGCTAAAAAGCAGCTGGAGAAGGAGACGCTGATGCGCGTGGACTTGGAGAACCGCTGCCAGAGCCTACAGGAAGAGCTCGACTTCCGGAAGAATGTGTTTGAGGAGGTGAGTCTGTGGGCACAGCCTTCAGCCTAACTAGGTGTGTTAGTGTGCTGGGGCTGCCGGAGCAAAGTGTGAGGGACTAGGCAGCTTAAAACCACAGAAATCTGTTCTCTTGACTCTGGAGGCTGAAAGTCTGAAGTCAGGGTATTTTAGGGCTATGCTCCTCCTACAGACATCAGGTGAAGTTCCTTCCTGTCTCCCCTGCTTCTTGGGGCTCCAGGTGTCTTTTCACTCACCCTGTATCATTCCATCTTCACAGGTGTCTCCTCCTCTCTGTCCATCTTCTGTGTGTCTCTTTTTTTTTTTTTTTTTTTTTGAGATAGAGCCTCAAGCTGTCCTCTTGGGTAGAGTGCCATGGCATTACAGCTCACAGCATCCTCCACCTCCTGGGCTCAAGCGAGTCTCCTGCCTCAGCCTCCCAAGTAGCTGGGACCACAGGCGCCCGCCACAACGCCCAGCTATTTTTTGGTTGCAGCCGTCGTTGTTTGGCGGGTCCGGGCTAGATTCAAACCCACCACCTTAGGTGTACGTGGCTGGCTCTGTGTGTCTCTTATACACAATCCAACAGTTGACGTTGGATTTTAGGCCCACTGGATAATCCAGAATGATCTAATTTATATCTACAAAGACCCTATTTGCAACTAAGGTCACATTCATAGGTTCTGTGGATCAGGACATAGACACATCGTTTTAGGGGCTATCATTCCACCCACCACACAGCCTCCTCATCAAAGGTAGGTGTGAGGCCCACCTGCTTCCTGGGCCTACTCTCACCCTCCTCATCTTTGGGCCTCTGGCTCTTTGGGTGGTGGTGTGGGAGCCTGGCCCCATGTGACCCTTAGGTCCTAGTCTTCATAGAGCTCATTGTGATGTCATAGCCCTGAGCAGAATGCCTGGGGCCAGGCAGGCTCATGTGCTTACTGCCCAGAAAGAGCTGCTGGCTGAAGGATGCCCATGCAGCTCAGGAACAGGGCCTGGCTTCAGCCAGGTGCAATGAGTGTGTGGGCCACCACAGGAGCTGGGAGGGAGGCTGCAGCAGGTGTTGTGAAGGAACCCATGAGGGAATCCATGAGGCAACATGAGTCTAAGAGGGGACCTATGAGGGAGCCTGTGAATAGACCTGTGAGCGAACCAGCAAAGGGACAGGAGCCCAAGAGGGGACCTGTGGGGGCACTTGTGAGGGGTCCCACAAAAAGACTGAATGAACCTGTGAAGATACCCTTGAGGGATCCTGTGAGTAGACCTATGACTGAACCTGTGAAGCGACCCATGAGGGGACCTGAGCCTGAGAGGGGACCTGTGGAGGCACCTGTGAGGGGTCTCATGAAGAGACCCATGAGTGAACCTATGAAGACACCCTTGAGGGATCCCTTGATTAGACCTATGAGTGAACCTGTCAAGCAACCCATGAGGGGACCTGAGCCTGAGAAGGGACCCTTAAAAGAACCCAAATCTTCAGGGGAACCTGTGGAGGCACCTGTGAGGGAACCATTGAAGACACCCATGAAGGAAACTGTGAAGAGACTCACAAGGACAGCAATGAAAATACCTTTGAAGGAACTTGTGATAGAACCCAGAGGGAGACCCATGAAGGGATCCTTGAGGAAACCTATAAGGGGACCTGGAAAGAAACTGGTGAGGGGAGCAGCAAAGAGACCCCTGAGGGGACCCCAGAAGAAACCTGTGAAAAAGGGATCCTTAAAGATCCCCCTGAGGAAAGAGCCCTTGAGGGGTGCTGGGCCTCAGAGGCGGAAGCCTGCATGGGGAGCGGTGAGCAGCGCCTCATCAAGGGCAGCCCGGAAGGTGGGTGTGCTGTTCATGGGTCTCAGCAGGCTGTGCTGCCAGCTTCACTCTTTGTTTGTAAAAGTGACCGCTTCCCTTAGAAGCATTTCTGCTGTTTTTATGAACGAGTCACATAATAATAAGTGACAGGTTTCTGTGCTAGAGGGAGTTTCATGCAGTAAGAAGTGGATGTTCCCTTCCTGTGAAGCATGAGCTTTGGCTCAAGCCGCCACCTGCCCTGACACTTGCTCCTGCCATGTGTATGGGACAACTGTTTGTATGACAACTGCCTGTGGCCTGAGTGTGCCATCATGGTCACTGTGTCCTGAGGGCCAGGTCTGCCATCCCCTGGAAAACTAATTTGTTTTCTTAAATTACAGCTTTTATTGGATATAATTCCCATACCATAATGTTCACCTTTTTAAAGTGTAGAATTCAGTGTTTGTTGGATCTCCGTGGGGTTGTGCAGTCATCTCTCTTCTACTTCTTCTTCTTCTTCTTTTTTTTTTTTGAGATGGGAGTCTCTCTCTCTGTTGTTTTTTGGGGGTTTTTTTTGCCCAAGCTAGAGTGCTGTGATGTCAACCTACCTTAAGGGACCTCAAACTCCTGGGTTTAAGTAGTCCTCCTGCCTCAGCCTCCTGAGTAGCTAGGACTGCCGGCACCTGCCATAACACCCAGCTAGTTTTTCTATTTTATTTTATTTTATTTTTTGAGACAGAGCCTCAAGCTGTTGCCCTGGGTAGAGTGCTATGGCATCATAGCTCACAGCATCCTCCACCTCCTGGGCTCAAGCAAGTCTCCTGCCTCCGCCTCACAAGTAGCTGAGTCCATAGGCGCCCACCACACCACCTGGCTATTTTTTGGTTGCAGCCATCATTGTTGTTTGGTGGACCTGGGCTGGATTTGAACCCGCCAGCACAAGTGCATGTGGCTGGCGCCTTAGCTGCTTGAGCCACAGGCACTGAGCCAGTTTTTCTATTTTAGGTAGAGATGGGGGTCTCGTTCTTGCTCAGGCTGGTCTCAAATACCTGAGCTCAAGCATTTCTCCCACTTGACCTCCCAGAGTGTTAGGATTACAGGTGTGAGCCACTATACCCGGCTGCAACCATCACTTCTAATTCCAGAGCATTCCACCATCACCCCCCTAGCAAACTCTATCCCCATCAGTAGTCACTCTCCACCCTCAGTCCCTGCGATCATAAATCCACATACCAGAATAGAAATGCCTGTTCTGGACATTTTTTATAAATGGAGTCACACACTGTATGTTCCTTCAGTGTCTGGCTTCTCTCACTGAGCATGGTGTCCTCACGGTCCATCTATGTTGTAGCCTGTGTCAGAGCCTTGTTTCTTTTCATAGCTGAGTGATATTCCAGTGTGTGGGTGGACCATATCTGGTTTGTTAGTCCATGGATGGGCATTTGGGCTGCTTCCAATCTGTGTTGCTGTGAATGTGTGTGTCAGTGATAACTTGTGAACAAGGAACCAGGTGGCTATCCAGAGGTTCTCAGTTTGGACATTTTGAAGCCCTCCCTTTGGGGGACCAGGGCAGGAGCAGGACCAGAGGCTTGGGAGCATTCTCTGCCACTTGCTCTGGCACCTTGGTCACTGAAGCTCTGTCCCCAGGAGGTGCGGGAGACGCGGCGGCGGCACGAGCGCCGCCTGGTGGAGGTGGACAGCAGCCGGCAGCAGGAGTATGACTTCAAGATGGCCCAGGCGCTGGAGGAGCTGCGCAGCCAGCATGATGAGCAAGTGCGGCTGTACAAGCAAGAGCTGGAGCAGACCTACCAGGCCAAGGTGCCAGCAGGGTGGGTGGGGGTGGTGGGCACTGTGGGACCCCTGGCCAGCATTTGCCTTTCTTTTTTCTTTTTTTTAGAGACAGAGTCTCACTTTATCACCCTTGGTAGAGTGCCGTGGTGTCACAGCTCATAGCAACCTCCAGCTCTTGGGCTTAGGTGATTCTCTTGCCTCAGCCTCCCAAGTAGCTGGGACTACCCGACACAACACCCAGCTATTTTTTTGTTGTAGTTTGGCTGGGGCCGGATTTGAACCCACCACCCTCGGTATATGGGGCTAGTGTCCTACTCACTGAGCCACAGGCACTGCCTCAGCATTTGCCTTTCATCCACCCATTTCCCCTCAGCTGGACAACGCTAAGCTGAGCTCTGACCAGAATGACAAAGCAGCCAGTGCTGCCCGCGAGGAGCTGAAAGAAGCCCGCATGCGAGTTGAGTCCCTCAGCTACCAGCTCTCCAACCTTCAGAAACAGGTGACTCACGAGAGACCCCAACCCTACCTGGCCTGGCCTCTGGACCTCTGTCCTCTGAGTGTGTGAGCTTAGGATTTCCTGCCTCTTGGCAGTTGATGCAGTTGTTTGGCACTGGTGGTGTCTCCTACCTTCCTCCTGTGCCTGCTCCAGCCCATCAGCAGCCACATGGCTATGGTGCTGGCTCACTATTCTGCAGACTTGGTCTCCATCTAGGGGGCCCCTTCCCAGTCCCCACAGTGAGGGGCTGTCTCTCCACTGTCCACACACCCTCAGCAGCCCCTACAAGAGGCCCAGGATTGACTGGGCTTCCATGACCCCAGTAGGCTGCCTTGATCTGGCCACTTATCCCCTCTCTAGGCCAGTGCCGCTGAGGACCGCATCCGGGAGCTGGAGGAGGCCATGACTGGGGAGCGGGACAAGTTCAGGAAGATGCTGGATGCCAAGGAGCAGGAGATGACAGAGATGCGGGATGTGATGCAGCAGCAGCTAGCTGAGTACCAGGAGCTGCTGGACGTGAAGCTGGCCCTGGACATGGAGATCAGTGCCTACCGAAAGCTCCTGGAGGGCGAGGAGGAGAGGTGGGGCAGGTCAGGTGAGGAGGTCAGGGAAGGGGCAGGGCAGGGGCCAGGTGACAGCTCCTTTTCTCCCCCCAAGGCTGAAGCTATCCCCTAGCCCATCCTCTCGGATCACCATCTCGAGGGCCACCTCCAGTAGCAGTGGCAGCAGTGTGTCAGCAGCTGGGCGCCCAGGCCGCAGCAAGCGGAAGCGGCTAGAAGCAGAGGAGTCACCAGGCAGTGGCTCAAGTGGCCTGGGCACAGGCAGCAGTGGGAGCAGCAGCAGCAGCAGCTTCCACCTGGCCCAGCAGGCCTCAGCCTCGGGCAGCGTTACCATTGAGGAGGTTGACCTGGAGGGCAAATTTGTGCAGCTGAAGAACAACTCTGACAAGGTGATGGTGTCACTGTACCTGAGGCAGAGGGAAATGTCCCTGCCATTGTTGCCATCCTGCTGGGCTGTGTGGCAAACATGTGCTTTCTTTTCCAGGATCAGTCTCTGGGGAACTGGAGGATCAAAAGGCAGATCTTAGAGGGGGATGAAATCGCCTACAAGTTTACACCCAAGTACATCCTGCGGGCCGGCCAGACAGTCACGGTAGGTGGCAGGGGTAGGGCAGGGGCAGGAAGGAGAGGATGGCCACTGGTGGGATTAGTTGGGGTTATGGAAGGGCCAAGACTCAGGACTTGGCTGCAGCTATGCCACCTTGGGGCTCAGACCTCCCATAGCTGCACCCCTGTACTGGGCCTTGTTTGGGACCAACCTACATGCTGAGGGTCTGGGTCTAGTCCTGTAGGGCTGGCATCTGTGAAGTGTAACAGTCACAATCTACTGGGCTTCAGACCCCAGCTTAGCCCCTGTTAACTGGGAGCACTTGGCCAGTATGAACCTCAATCTCTTCTGTACCCTGACCAAGCCTAAGTCAAGCTGGCTTGAACACCCAGGGCCTTGAAAGGGGACTGTGTGGCCATGTCCCCTGGACTGAAGGTGGTATTGGTGGGGGGGCTATTCTTGGATCCTCAGGTGTGGGCAGCTGGTGCAGGGGTGGCCCACAGCCCCCCTTCAACCCTTGTGTGGAAGAGCCAGAACAGCTGGGGCGCTGGTGAGAGCTTCCGTACTGTCCTGGTCAACGCTGATGGAGAGGTGGGTACATACTCTGCACCACCAGCCAGATGTGGAGTTCTGGGCTTGGGCTTGATCCCAGGATGGTATCTGTAGCCATAGCGGTGCCCAATGTGGGGTGAGGGGTCCCTGGCACTGAGGTGTTGAGTGTTGGCAGCTCTTATCTCACACAGGAAGTGGCCGTGAGGGCCGTGAAGCAGTCCTCGGTGGTACGGGAGAATGAGAATGGGGAGGAAGAAGAGGAGGAAGAAGCCGAGTTTGGCGAGGAGGATCTCTTTCACCAACAGGTAGGGGCTCCTATGTCTACTTACAGCCGGGGGGGCAGCTTCCAGGACAGAGTGAACTGGTGATCACACATACATGCACCAGTGCACACATGTACATACACACCTGCTATGTTCACTGGATCCCTGGCAGGACACTCACTGGGTTGCAGGGGCTGAGCTCTAATGAGCCCCACGGTTTGTACCCACACACATAAGGCACAGATGGGAGAGCTGGGCCTGCCCCCCAGCATAGGCAAGACATCCTGGGATGTCACAGACCTCAGGGTACTGGCCTGGGGTCTCCTGGGAGGTGGGGTGTTGAAAATCCAATTATATCACATAGCAACACTAGGTACAGCTCCCCAAACACTCTGGTTCTACACTTCCTCTGTCTAAGACACCAGTTACTTAAGTAATGGCTTCTGAGGAAGAGGTGGAGAGTCCAGAAACTACCACTGTATTAAATGGACACATTGCAGCAGTGCTTTGATTTTTGGAATGTTAAAAACTTGACACAGGTAGCCCACAATCAGCGAAATGGAGACATAGAAGGTTCTGAAAATAGGGACTGCTGTTGCAGAAGCTGCTGAGCCTGTCATCTTGTGAGCTGAGTTTCCTGGGGTGCTCAGCTTTCAGCATGGCCCCAGCTGCTCACTGCTTGCCTGACTACCTCCATTCTTCCTTCTTTCCTTGCAGGGAGACCCAAGGACCACCTCAAGAGGCTGTTGCGTGATGTGATCTCAGCACTTGTCATCACATACCTTCCTCTACCCAGAGCCACTGAAAACTATTTTTATATCATTGGCTTTCTTTAGTTCTTGATAACATTTCTAGAGAATTTTTAAGCAAACTGTCAGGATGTGGGCATGGGTCTCTGCTGATCTTTCCTGTGGTGGGTGTCCTTGGACTGTCCCCTCATAACCATCTCCACCTCTATCCTGGAGACCTTTTTTAGTGTTTTTTCCCCTATTTCGCCATCTGGTTGAATCTGAGGCTCAGGAACCTGGGGGCTGAAAGGGGCTGGAGCTGGGAGGCAAGAGGGCCAGCAGAGCCACTTTGCTGCCTCTGCCTCAAGTGCAGGCCAGGACAGAGGAGGGGATAGGAGATGGCCCCTTGGGCCTTATAGGGGACAGAGATGCAGAGGAATTCGATGGTTATGGGTTTTATTTTTTTAAAGCTTTTTAAAAACCAAATTCAGAGCCCAGGGTCTGACCTGGTGGGGCTGGGGTCCCAGCCTACATCTTGGCTGCTGCAGTTCAGACAGTGGGAACCCATCACGCATCCAAGAATCAGGTGCTGATGCGGTACAGTAATGGCCTCGTCCTGAGGGCAGATGAATTTAGGGAGTTTGTAGCAATTCCTATTCTGACGACATGGGGCTCGGGTTGAGTTTCTCTGACCCTTGATTTTACTTTCTGGGCCTTGATTCTGGAGCTTCATACAGTTCAGTTCCTTATCCTGTAGGACCAACAAGGCAGGAGAACAGACACCTAGGGAATGAGGATAGTCCTGTTCTAAGATTTGTCAGGATAGTAAATGGGAGGGGGACTTTGGATAACCTTGGAGCAAAGCCCTTGAGTTTGAGAACCATTGTCTGCAGGTATTGCCACCCATTCCTGACCCTTCCAGAGGAGAGTGATTTTTGGCTGGGCCTCCTCCCCTGAGTGTGTGTGTGGCGCTGAGTGTGGTGTGGTCCCCTATATATACATGTGCATATATCATATATTGATATTGTAGCTTCTATTTGCTGAAATTATGTTTCTTAGACATGCCAATGCCAACTGACTCCTATGCTGATGGCTCCAACTCCTCAGACCAGCTTCTGGCTCTCCCCTTTCGGCAATAGCTTACAGTTTACACCCTTCCCACATAGATACACAGAAGTTATTTTTTTAATGGATATTTATTTTTTTACATTGGTCAGTATGCAGATTGCCAGGACCCTGCTTCAGGGGCTCATGTCAAGGCCTTGAGGGCAGGCTAACCATCCTCCCAGGGCATGGCACTGGGGCAGGGACCCCCAAATGGCAAACTTCCTTCAGAGAGTGCAGCTGAGTCTTAAAGATGCAACACTGAGCCACAGGTGCACTGCCCAGCCTGAGCCAGGCCTTGTGGTCCCTGTAGGGCAGGCAGCACTGCTCTCCTAGACCAGTCAGGCTTATGATGAGGAAGGAATAGGAGTCATGAAACCCAGGCCTGGAAGGTCCCAGTGGCCAACAAAGCGAAAACACTGCCGCTGCCACTGTTGCACCTGCATCACAGAGGCTCTGCCAGCCACCCTTACTTCCAGAAGTCCTTGATTCTTTCTGTGGTGACTTTTTGTTCCCTGGGCTGTGGGTTGCCTTCCCTGTATGGAGGGAAATGTGTTTTACCAAAGGAATTCCTCACGGTAGGTCCAGACAGGTGTAACAACTGTTCGAGTCAGGCAGAGCTGCCAGGCCACTAACAAGTAGGAATGTTGGCTCCAGGTGCTATCTTCCCCTTTCCCTACCTTCATGGCAGGAACATTCTGGACGTGACCAGGTAGCCCACATCCAAGCAATTATGCTGGGGGCAGAGGGTGTCATAATCTTGACACTTGGTTGGGGCGGGGGGGGAGTGTTGCACTGGCTTCAATCACACCTTTTTACATATTTTGAGACTGGGGGAGCAAAACCATATGCTGGAGTTGTGTCTGTGATTTGCTGAACAGGCTTGCAGGCCAGGCTCCAGGGATGAAAGGAGAAGGCCCAGATGTCCAAAGACACTACTGAGCCTCTTCCTGTGGTATATTTCCCAGATCCACAGACTAGCACTCCCCTTTTCCTGGGTGCACAGAGGTCACTCCTGGCAATCTTTTTCAACTCTAAGGGTCTGGGTCTTTACCCCACATTTGCCTTGATTAGAGCTGGGAGTGGCCCAGGCACTGATGGTGCCCTTAGCTGGTGGTGCTTAAAGTGGGGAGGCAATTGGGTGGTGAGTTGGTGATTGGAGGTTGATGATGGTCATTGGTAATCAAGTTATTTGGATACTGAGCAGAATCCTATTTTATAAAGCTGACTAGCCTGCGAAACAGACTTTGCACTTGTCCTCAAATAAGTTTATTAGCTGTTTGCCACTTAGCTGTGAAACGATCTCTGTGTGTGTGTGTCTGGTAACTCCCAGCATAGTGCCTTCCCTGAGAAGACACCAGATGATGGCCCTGACCCAAGAGGCCCTTGGTTACTGGCACAATGGGACATGGGCACAGGCTGGTCAGTGTCTCACTGAACCCAGGAGCCCGGTGATGGGATCGTGCACCTGTTTCCCTGGCAGTGATGCCTTTGACCTAGGTCTGTTTTTAATCTACATTTGGACAGCAGCAGTTGTATTCACACTGGAGATCCGAATGGGGCTGATGTTCTTCGTGTCATAGCCATCTCAATGTAATTCCTACCCATCTGACGCAGCATCACAGCACAACATGCAGGTAGAATTGGACTGCAACTACCATGGGCTGGCATAGACTTTCATTTCAGAGATTTTGTTGGTTTTTAAGAAGATGCATGCCAAACGTGTGGTCTTACCCCCCCTCCATGATTTGTAATATACATTTTATGACTGGAAACTTTTTTGTACAACACTCTAATAAACATTTTGATTTTAAGTTTATCTCCAGCGGGGTCTTCTGTCCAGTGCAGCCTCCCGCTGAGTCGCGCACGTAACAACCAGTCCCGCCCCACTCGTCTGACTATAGTGGGAGGTGTAGACAGGCCTGGCTCTTTGTGCGCACGCGCAGAAGGGCCTGCAGGACGAGCAGTGGACCGCCCCAGTGAGCCGATCACTCACTGGCTGGCTCCGACAGGCCGCACGGCAAACAAGCTTCTGGCGGCGCTGTCCCGCCTGCGCATGAGCGGCGGGGGGCGGGGGTGTGCGCGCGCGGCCTTGTGGGAGTTGCAGTTGGGCTGCCTGTACTACGTTTCCCGTAGTGCTTCGGGCGGCTTGCTTCCGGCGCAGCTACGGGTCGGTGCGCGTGGCCTTAGCACTGTTGACTTTGCCGAGCCATGGAGGGCAGCTTCGGCTCGGATTTCGGGGGCTCTGGCAGCGGGAAGCTGGACCCGGGGCTCATCATGGAGCAGGTGAAGGTGCAGATTGCCGTGGCCAACGCGCAGGAGCTGCTGCAGGTATGGGGCGGGGCTGGCCGGGCTGGGGGCGCCCCTGCGGGCAGGCGGGCATCGTGGCTGAGGCCTTGCGTGTCTCCACAGAGAATGACGGACAAGTGTTTCCGGAAGTGCATCGGGAAGCCAGGGGGCTCCCTGGACAACTCCGAACAGGTGAGCCCCGCAGGGGTATAGGCCATAGGTCTCGTGGACTGGGGGTCTGGGGCGTCTACGTGTGCGCTGACTAACGGGGCGTCGTGGCGGCGGGGAGGTATCCTCTGTGCGAGCGCGGTCTGCAGCCCAGAGGGTGCGAACTGGGGACACTGGCGGGCGTAGGGGGTTCGGGGCATGGTGGGCCTTAGCTGAACCGTGCATGCCCCGTCCCTGTCCCCAGAAATGTATCGCCATGTGCATGGACCGCTACATGGACGCCTGGAACACCGTGTCCCGTGCTTACAATTCAAGGCTGCAGCGGGAGCGGGCCAACATGTGAGTGGGAGGCGGTGCTACGGCGGGTCCGCTCCCACATCACTGCATTTAAGTGGACGTGCCTGGCGGGGCGGGGCCAACACTTGCGTACTGCCTGCCGGTGGAGGCACTATGGGGGTGGAACCGCCGCCAGTGCTGGGAAAGATGGGACTGTGACCTCCTACCCACCCACCCCGGCCTCTGCCAGCCAGTGCAGTCTGGGTCTTGGAGCGCTTATGCCTTTCCAAAGTGCTGGCCGCTCGGTGACACCTCCTTCAGACCTGATGGGCCCAGGTCAGTCTCATGTCCTAGGCAAAGAACCCTTGTTTGGACCTTGGAGTGGGGAGTGGTCAGACCCCACTTGAGCTGTGACCTCCTGAGGACCGACAAATAAATTGCTGGGGGAAGGGCAGAAAGAGACCTGTGCTTTTTTCCTCCTGGGAGGAGGTGCAGTGTTGTTCCTAGAACCCCAGCCCAGACTGGGCCTCAGCCTCCCCTGGGTGGAGGGTCCATCTTTCACCTTTGTACCGCTGAGTCAGGGGGATTGTCTTTTTCAGCACAGAAGGGGGCCTTGAAGGTGAGGCTGATGAGACCCTCCCCCAAGGCTAAGGAGAGCAGCCCTGCCCCTGAGGTAGGGGCTTGCTTTTCCCCATCTTCCTTATATCTCTGCCCCAGGGGAGGGACATGTAAGTGGTCTTTGTGGGGCCGTGGAAGTGCTGAGCCAACCAACAAGCTAGGGTGCAGGGCTGTTTATTGGAAGAAAGTATGCAGTCAAACCACACTTTGTTGCCCACAGCCCCCCACCCACTGCCTGCCACCTGGATGCTCCTCCTTGAATTGGGTGGCCGGTGTTTGTGCTGCTTTCACATCTGGCATCTGGGCCGGGGCAGGCACATGGCAGTCACTCCTGGATGTTCTGCCCTATCCATCTTCTCACAGCCGATACCCGAGTGTAGACACCAGGGAAGTGGGGCCGGCCACAGCCATAGCCCCAGCTGGTGACCCCAGTTAGCACCCACCGTCCAGAGGGCTCCCTGCAGGCCAGAGGTCCCCCAGCATCACCCTAAGATGGGAGGGAAAAACGGGCACTCAGAGAAGGCCAATGCCTGTCCACAGCAGCCCTTGGGCCTAGAAGGGGAGGAGCTGGCCTGACCTTTGCACCCCAGGTCCCAGGCCACTATGGGGGTAACCTCTGTGAATGGCTTTCCTTGTGGGTCTCACTTGTATTATCTGGACAATGAGTTCATTGCCAAGACAATCCATTCATGCTGCTGTCAGACATTTATGGAAACCCCACCATGGGGTCTCCAGAAAGCAGCTTTCTGGGAACTGGCTTATGGATGCCCAGTAAACAGTTGTGGATTGCAAATTCCTCTAGAACCTGGCAGTGCCCGTACTCAATGGGTAGAGCACTAGCCACATACACCAAGTCTGGCAGGTTCAAACCACACCCAGACCAGCTAAACAACAATGACAATTGCAACAAAAAAATAGCCACGCATGGCAGACACAAAAAGTCCCGGCTACTTGGGAAGCAGAGGCAAGAGAATCACTTAAGCCCAAGAGTTTGACATTGCTGTGAGCTATGACACCACGGCACTCCACTGAGGGTGACATAATGAGACTCTGTCTCAAAAAAAAAAGATTCCTCCAGAACCAAAAAAGGTGCTTTGGGCTCGTCGCCTCTAGCTCAACCGGCTAAGGCGCCAGCCACGTACACCTAAGGTGGCGGGTTCAAATCCAGCCCGGACCCGCCAAACAACAAT